TGTGTGTGTGTGTGTGTGTGTGTGTGTGTGTGTGTGTGTGTGTGTGTGTGTGTGTGTGTGTGTGTGTGTCAGAGAGAGATGGCCTAGGGTATTTTTAAAATTTTATAAACCAGATGCTGTGCTGCAGCTGAGGTACATAGAGAACAGGTAAGAGGACCTCATAAGGTTTGCCCTGCCATAGATCTCCCCAGGGCTGATCCCCTTGTACTACCCTTTTTGCCCCCTACAGTGGTAGTGGGGAGGAGAGTTACCATGCGACAATCTCAACATTGATATGGCCTTCCACCCCCACCCATCCAACCTCCCCAAATGACATGCCTTGCTGTGGTGACAGTCCCTGAGTAGGTGAAGCCTGCCCTAAGATGGTATGGTGCAGAGAGAGAGATTCTGTATCTAGAGAAATTGTGGGTAAACTGTTGATTTATAATGGAAAACACAAGGCTTGGACTTGGACCATGAGTGCTTGTCCTGACCAAGGACTTATTTTTCCCACAGTGAGCCCTTAGCTAGGGAGTCACTTGGGACTTCCTGGCCTGCCTATTCTGTTTGCTATGGAACTTGTTTAAACAGCTTGCTACATTAGAAAACAATTTCCGTTTTCTACCAGGGGTCATTGGCTGTCAGCTAATCTAAATTTTCATTTCTCTATGAAGTAAAACATGGCCCCTGGGGCCAAAGGGATACAGATCTAGTGTAGTGCTCTACAGGGAAACCTACAGACAGACTCTATGAAGATTGAGGTTACCTTTGTCTGCAGCACCAGTGGGATGTTTTCCACCTGCTCTTTTCTGTGGGTTTTGTATGAGTGCAGAAAACACCTGTGGGGAGAGCAAACAGATGCATTTTATTTTTTTTTTAATTTCCAAAACAGAAAAATGGTGCAAGTCTGCATCTCTGTAAACAGGTTAATATTGTTTCTGATAGGACAACGTAGCATATAGGATGTCTGTAGCAAGCATGTTAGTGTAGCTAGAGCAAGTCATTGGCTGCCTGCACTTAGTGATGAGTTTTATCCCTTGCTCTTTATAAGAGTTTCTAATATTGCTATAGACATGTTTCCAGTGGATCTTTATAGTCATCTAGTATCTAGCCCCGTGGTCAGCAACATTTTCTGGAAGTGGGATGGAATGGCTCAGCTTGGGTCCAAGGGAAGCCAGCACTAGACCCCGGCCATTGCTTCTCCTTGCCTCCTGGCTGAGGTACAGCACGGGGAAATCTCCCCACCAGCAAGGTCGCCTGCTGCTGAATGCCGCTGAAGCCCCAGCTTTGTGGGCTGGATCCAATGACTGCAGGTTGGATCTTACCCACAGGCCATAGGTTACTGAACCTTGATCTAGATCGTGTATACAGGTTTGAGCATCATAACCCACAAGTAATTTTATATTTTGGCTCAAGCAGCTCAGACTTGTGGCGTTTAGATCTGGAAGTGACAGGCTTGCGTATTCTGTTTGTGTAGCATGGGTTATCAAAGATGCCAAATGTACGTGATTCTTCTGTTTGTCACCAATAGTGTAGCAAGACCCAGACTGCACAGAATGTGCCAGCCTTGGAGTGTGAACCGGAGGGCATACTTCTTTCTTCCATAGCCAATTCCATGAACGCTTGGCCTCCATGTGTCTCCATGAATGCTGTGTTTCCATCTGTGTTGTACAGTTGTGATGTCATGCTTGTGGTGTTGCCATCTGTGAGACAAGCCAAAGCTATGCAAACTTGACAAGCCAATAAAAGCATGGCAAAAACTAATAGTGGGAAAAACCCAGGCAATTGTCTCATTCTTTTTCCTAAGTAGTATGCCCTGAGTAGGTCGTGTTTACTCTCTAGGTAGGGCCCTGTGCTGATAGATTGCTCATGAGTCAATTTGCTCCAAAGGATGACTACTGGACTCGGTGCATCATATGAATGCCAGGCAAGCTGTGAGTAGGTACATGTTTCCAAGGGTCTAAAGAATGCACTTGAATGTAACAGGTCTCCTTGGTTTAAACCCTGAATGTTTTCACCCTGATCACTGAGTGTTCTGCTTCATCCTTGAAGGTAGGATGGAACCAGGGTCTAATCTGAACCTCCTGAGATGAGATTTCCCCAGGTGGGCTCTGGTGGCCTCTGGCTGGAAGGTGTGTGCTTGGTGGCTGGTTGAAAATGGGGCATTCACCCTTCTATAAACCAGCCTTAAACAGGACAGCTTTTTATAATCAGATATATAACCAGCATGATCCATACTGCTTGGCCCTTTGGCATGGACCTGAATTCTATTTAAGAAGCTTCCCTTTTAAGGAGCTCTGAAAATGAAGAGTCAAATCTTCATCCTCTTGGAAATCACTTCTCAGCAGCTAACTCTGCTGGTTTGCATCCATGGCAAGGATCTGGCAAGATTACACTTTGACTCTTGGGAGTGGGGTTTGTAGTAGTGGCACCCAGAAGGAGCCATCACTATCTGGGCTGCTTAGACAGGCATGGGGTGGGCTGGGGGCTGACCGGCCCGGGGTGGGGGGGTCATCTCTTAATGGGGGGCTGAGCCCCCCCAAGCTCTGCCATAATTTGAACCCTGGTTTTATGCAACAAAATTCTGGATTCCCTGTTTTGATTTAGCTCACTAGGAAGGAAACGCACAGATTTCATCATGTTATTTTGAAAAGATTTGTAATTGGAATACTTGTTCTCTACTGGCTGCTATCTGCATCTAACCATGTATTTTTTTTTTTTTTAAATTACCTTGGAATGAGATTTTTAGGAGTCTTTCTTTTTGAAGGTGGGAATTTATCCTCAGCAGTAAATATCCCAACCTGGACTCTGTATTTGAAGTCTGGCTCATGGGAAGACCTGCTATGAGTCGCCTACAGGGGTTTTCTTGGACTAAAAAAACCCCTAAATTCAAACTGGTTATAGCCTTCTTAACTCCCTTCCCCTGCTTCCCCCTTCCTCACCCTCCACTAAAATATCTCGTGCCTACCAGCCTCCAAAAGAGTGTTAGTGTGTGTGAATAGCAGAGTCCTCTCCTCCTAGCCTTCCTATCCCGTGCATTCCCCTTACATTGTCTCTCTGTGGGTAGAAACTCCCTGTGGCCAGATGCAGAGGGGAAAGAAGGGTAATACGATGGTTCAAGCACACACGTGGGATCTGGAAGATCTGCATTCAACTCCTTTCTCTGCCTCTGGTTTCCTGTGTAACCTTGGGTGGGTCCTTGCCTGGAGGAGAGTGGGGCAGGGGGACCTTTGTTTTCTACCATATGGAAGTGCTGTGAGGATAGAGGATTGTGAATATTTGTTTGCTCTGCTTAATGGCTTTTTCATATTCTCTCTGGAAATGTTGGAAGTGCTGACCGTAGTGGGAGGGCCAGTTAGACAAGGATGTGTATGAGAACTGACAGTAGAAAGCAGTAATGGTGCCCGAGTGAAATAATCTCTTTAGAGCTTTTCCCAGCTCTCTCCCATCTCTGCTTTGCTTGAGCAGGAGTTTTCTTGTCTGTTCTTCCTCTAGACTGTGTGTACATTGCTTTGATTTGTGACGGCAGGCAGGACGTGTTTCCTGGCGCAGACGCCCCGTGACAAGAAGGCCCAGAACAGGATGCTAATTCCTCCCACTGCTCCACAGCAGGGTGGGAATGGATAGGGAGAGGGACAGCCTCTGTGATTCAGAACTGAATATGAGCAACAGCCACCAGATATATCTGTACTAGGAGTCACCAGCTCATGTGGAGGGAGCAGCACCACTCTATTTCATAGGAAAAAGTGTGGTTTGCTATAAGTTTTTCATTGATGACAATACCTTTAGTCTTCCAAAGCATGGAAATCTCAGCCAGGGCCCCAGTACATCTTGGCACCTCTGTTTGTGGCAGCCATACAGGAGAGAGTCAATGACTCAAACCATTATCAGGATGTGCTTGTCAGCCTGTCTGGTGTGTCTGTCCAAATCAGAGTGGTGGCTGCTGACAGAAAGAGAACTGCTTTAGTGACGGAGGGAAAAGATTTGGAGTAATCAACTGAAAACAGTATCTGTATTCATGTTTGTGAGTTGCACATGTAAACCTTAATTCCAAGTCTGTTTAATTAACACAGTGATCCTCCACCAGGATGCCACAGCACCCTCAGGTGTCTTGACGTCCTTTCAAGGGTGCCATGGTATGCCACCCAATGTTGCTCTGTTGGTTGTGCAAATATGATTCACAAGAGAAACCCAGAGATTTCAAGTGGGAATCTATAGTGTTAAAAACATTGTGACCTGCTGTCGTCTTTCTGAGCATTTTGCAACAGGAGAATCACTCTATTATTTTTCTGTAATCAAAAAATAAGGGAAAGCTCAGAGCAAGCATTTTTGCCTGGGGCGTAAAAAGGTTGAGGACCACTCATTAACTGAACAATATGATTTTACAAACAGGGTTGAGTCCCAGTTAACTGGGATAACTGCCTCTAGTGTTTGTGAATGCAGTGGCACCATTCCTGCTAGGACTTGGGCACATTTTACTGTCTCCTAGAATTGGGGCATAGGGACCTAATTTCCACATTTTTAAATGAAAGATCCCAGCCCCCCGTGAAGGTCTCCATTATGACTTTATTTGTAAATGATTTTTAACCCCTTGTTGGGCATTTATCCAAACATATGAGTTGGACCTAGTTATGGTGTGTCCTTCTCCAAGGGGTTATAACTGCATCTTGCTAACATGTCCTAGTAATGTCAGAGCTGCCACTGCTGAGGTGGGGATCTGACCTGTTGCTGTCTAGCACTGGGCTATTTGGCTAATCAATCCTAATGACTCTTTTCATACCCTTTCTTTAACTTCTAGGCACCTCAGAGCAAAAAGCTCCTGTTGAAGAAAGGGTCAATGGTAGGAAAATACATCCCGGAGGACAAGCCAGTAAAACGGTTAGCCTGCAATCTGTGTTGTTTGTCACGTGTGATGTGTTATGTGGACTCCTATCAGTCACTTGTGTCCTGTGCACACTCCCCTTCAGTGTGGGCTAAGGCTGGGCTTTGGTTAATTGTTAGAGCTTGGTGGGTTGTGGCTGGACTAGTGGGAGTTCTCACCCACATGTTGGTGTGTCAAGAAAGGGTGCTGAGTCCCATCTTAGCACAGCACTGCTTCCTCTCTGGACAGCCTGGGGACCCCGAGCAGAATGAAGGGTCAAAAGATCAAAGTAGCAAGAGGAAGCCGGTGGAGCAAGTGTTTTGGAAACTGGGTCAGGGGCGAATGATGAGGGTGTCCTCTAGGATGGGAACCCATAACTCTTCTCAAAGTAGCTGAATTGGCAGTCTGTTCCTCATGGTCTGTGCCGCGTTGCCCTCAAACGGATTTGGGGTTTTCTTCTGCATCCCACTTTCCTTTCCTTTCATCACAAGGGTGATCTCTCCTTCATCCCCCTTCTCTCTGTGACCACAAATGTGTTGTGCTGTAGCACTCTGTTCCTTGGAGAATAGGAAAAGGAGCAATTTGTCCAAAAGACTTGCATTCCCACAGTAGCAGGAAAGTAACTGGGTGGAAGCACTAGTTTAAAGAAAACTGCTATCCTGGATTTTCATTCCTGCTCCTTTATATTCATTACCATTTCTAACCCTGCTGGAGCATACTGCCAAGGATGAGAAGGACACTTTAGCTGGTATGTAAGTGCTGCTGCACTGGTGCATACCTTTAGTGTGGACAGGACATCTGTAACAGTGGAGGCCACTCCAGTTTCAAGAAGGACAAGGTTCCAGTGGTACGCATCAGGGAGCTCCCTGTCTGCACATGTGGTTTCTAGCACTGTTCCTGTGCGCACGGCTCGTGGAATCTGGGTATGTTCCCAACCTAGGTAAGGTTGTGAAGCTGTCCTCCCATGGCAAGTTGGCCCTTCAAAGCTGAGAATCACTGAAGTTTAGGGCTGGATGCTACAGAAGTCGTAAGATCTAGTTGCAAGTGACTGACTTCAGTAAATAACCTGGAATTGTGTGGGCCAAATTCTGCACCTCTAGCTTAAATGAGCTTGCCCTTTAATTGCTGATCTAGGTGATCTTCAGCCACAAGCCTGTTGACTGCACAGTTCTTGCCACATCCTTTTTCAGCCAGCAGTTAATGGCCACGTATTTAAGCCCTTGTGGAAGTCTTGCTCCTGGCATCTGGACAAATAGACTGATGGAAAAATTCAACCAGCTGGGGAGCCGTCCTGCCGAGATTCTGCTTAGTCATATCAGAGACGGGGCTATTTTATGTGGCCCTGTCTTTTTAACGGTCCCACAGTTGGATAGTTTGTGAATGGCAAATGCCCTTGCTCCATGGGACCAAATGAGCTTGCTGTTTATACTTGCATCCTGATCTTCTCAGCAGCTGTTCTTTTGGAGATTCAGCATGCTGCCAGCAGTGTGCAGCAACCATTTGGAGGGCTGAGCTAGGGGAGATGTTTGGAGGGTCACTGTGGTGTGGGGAAGAAGAGAGGTGCCCACTTCTCCTTTTTGCTCCATTGGTCTCTAGAGGTTGTGACATGTTCCCTAAGAAATGGCAGCAGAACTTGCAGTTCTGGCCCCTCATTCAGGTGCTTTTGTCTTCGGGTGCTTTTCTGAAATCCCTTCTCCAAAGAGGCTTTTGCCTCCCAGCTGCTTATTCCATTTTCTCATGCTGGCATGTCATCAGGCTATGGAGATAGGGTCATGCCCATTACCCTTCTCCCATCTCTAAAGCCCAGGAAATTTGGGTGTATGCTTTCCATGGTCAAATAATTTAATTTGGTTTAATTCCTCTTTTTCTGGTCTGAGTACTGTGTAAGTACTGTACAGAAAAAGGCGCCAGGGAGTCTAATGGCTTTTCAAAGGAAATGCATGCATGAGGGCAGCTGATTTTAATTTTCAGTTCAAGGGGTTTTGGGCACATGCATTTTCATAAGACAGACTTTGTGTTCCTGTGTCCATCTCTTGATGCCTTGTGTGAAAGGCACTCTTTATGCTGAGTATAGGCATAATACAATGTTTCCCTGAGCGTAGACTCCACTAAGGACAGTACATGCTTTTTTACCCTTCCACTTTGGTCATGGCATAGTACCTGGTGAAGCCAACAGGAATTTTTGAGTTCAGTAGACATTAGATCATGCCAATCAAGCAGGGCTACATCACCTCTCCATTTTCCTAGTTCATTAACTATGGAAAGCTGGACCAGATGGAAATCATATCACGAGTTACTTCTTCATAGGTCAGCTCCCCACCCAGACACTCCACATGCTCAGGATTCCTATGGGCTGAGTGATATATTTTTTTTTTTCTTTTTTTCTAAAGCCTGTCTCTCTCATTGCCACTATTAACATACGCAGAGTCTGATGTATGTAAGTTTAGCCTAGGTTCTATTCCACAGGTCTACAACCCTTCTCCTGGGGCAGAACTGCTCTCTACCAGATGCTACAGTGGAGTGTGTGATGTCTCTTCCCAGGGCCTGAAGCTTCCCTGGAGTAAAAGTCTGTCAAGCCTTTGATTTTATTTCTTCCTCTGAGACACTTAAACAGGGACTCACTGCAGAGCTAACACAGTGGTAGTTTGTGTAGGAGCTGCGGAGAAGGAATAGGGCCACTCTGCACATTTGTTCTCCATGCTTGTGGGGAGCAGGACTCTGGACCTTCTTCTCCAAGCACATGGGCATCTGCCATTTGAGCTAGAAAAGAGTAAGTCAGCCCTAATGGTTAATGCGATTGTATCTTTGAGAGTATCTATTTGGATACAGATGGAGGCAGTTGTACACATGCAAACACCCCACTCACATGCATGGGGATGGATGGAAGGGAAAAAAAATGGGAAAAGGGAAATATTTTAATAAAAGAATAAAATTGCAGAAAATCGAATAAAAACACCACTTCTCAGAAACCTCCCAAACAAGAGTGATTGTGGATTAAATGCAAATTCTCCTTTCCCTGTCTTTTTTTTGAGCTGCTTCAATTGCAATGCAGAAATTTGTCCTGAAATATTGTTTCAAATAGATTCTTATTCAGCTTCTTAGTACCAAAACTGTTGCCTACTTGGGGCCAAGATGTTAGTGCCACTATCTGAGTTGCTGAGATTCCTGAAACCTCTTGTGATGTTTGCAAGATCATGGCTTTCACCCACAGATTCACTCATGGGCCTTCTGTTTTGTAGGAACATGGCCAGGGTGTGCTGTGTCCTCTCCTCACCTTTCTCCTTTTGGGGCAGTGTTCTGTCTTGTTTAGTCTACATGTGTGTGAATGTGAATCCCCATCAGTGTCCCATGAGTGCTAACTTGATCACATTGGTTGTTTGGGGAACTCTTTCCTCACCCTGCACATGGTACATATGGGCCTTGACACAGGCTGCTTGTTTCTGGGGATGTTTCTTCTGCCTTCCCTGAGGAAATGACCATGGAAGAGCCTAACAGGAAGAACTGTAAATACTTCCTGGGCACCAGATTGAAGAAGGTGAAAGGAGGTACCGCAAGCTACGTGGAGAGCAGCATCTCTGGCAGAGAGAGAGAGAGGCAGCAAATGGCGGGGGACATGGGGAAGCCAAGGATGGTTCTGAAACGCAGCTGTAGGAAAACATCAAATGAGTTAGACAGTACTCCACTGCCTCCCAGAGGGCAACCCACTGGCACCGAAACCATGGTAAGCCTCGTACGCTAGGATTCTTCCTTGCTTTCCTCCCTCCTGCCCCCTTTCCACTATTTCTGTTGAGGATGGGGGTTCTGTGACTCCCACAAACCGTCTCCAACTCCTCTAGTTTGTCTTCTCCTTTCTTGCGCCTTGCTCCTGTCCTGTTCCTCCAACCTCAAGGCACAGGATCCAGCTGGCTTCTCCCCAGATCGCATCTTCAAGGTGGTGTTCGTGGGGAACTCAGGTGTTGGCAAGAGCTCCTTTATCCATCGCTTTTGCTATGACAGGTCCTTGGCAGAGATCAGTGCAACCATTGGTAAGTGAGAGGGCTTCTGCCCTGGCAGAATGTGGTGCAGGCCTGGGAAAGGAGGGCTGTAACAAAAGGAAGAGGAGGAAGCATGAAGTGTTCCCAGTGTTTGTCTCGTGTTCATACAGGGCAGTTGCACAGACTCCTTCCATGCCAGTACTACCAGTGCTGCTAATCTGGTCGCCTCCCCTGTATGCTCTGTGCAGCCCTGTCCACATTATCTAGTAATGGCTAAGATTTTCCAAAAGGAGATTGTAGTTTTTGGGTGTTATTTCTGAGGCCTTGAAAGCTGTGGTCTTCAGAGGGTGGTCTAGTGATCCTTGAATTATCCTGGATGGGGGTGGAGGAGAGGGTCTCATTTCCTACCAGTCCTGAAAATTCAGGATTGAAAAATAGCTGGAGGTGGGGAGAAGGACTGGTGCCTTTACTGCTGCCATGGTTCTTTAGATGTCAGGAGCACCCCAAATGTCCTGAGCATATTTTTTTTCACATGCAGAAAGATACTTGCTCCCTTCCCTGGAGCACAGATGATATGTTCCTTGCCCCCCAACAGGTATCGACTACCAAGTGAAGAGTTTAATGGTAGATAATGCACGAGTTGCCTTGCAGCTGTGGGACACAGCAGGGCAGGAGAGGTAAATTAAACATTTTTTGTTCCAGATTTGGATTTCATGCTGCCAAGTTCACAGCATGTAACAGCCAATGTGGAGAGTGGCTATTGATCTTTATAGCGCAGGGGTGGAGAGAGGAGAGACCAGACCTGGATTACATCCCTTGGAGCACAACATTAATTTTAACCTTTAGAGAGAGTGGGACAATAGCTAGCACAGAAACCATTTCACTGTCTGTTTCAGGATGGGGTAACAGGATAGGACAGGGGTATTACTGGGTTAATAAATGATATGGTGGTGTAGGTGTTTGCTGTCCCCATGCAATAAAAAGGTATTTCTTTCCATGCAAAAGGTGTCTAGGACAACAGTGACCTCTGATGAATAGGATTACTATAGAGGCAAAGAAGGAATTAACGCCCCCCCCTTACGAAGTCTCAATCAGCTTTTGTTTTTCTTTTTTCCTCCCACCTTCCTCTGAAATATTGGGCATTGACCAAAGCTAGAGGCAGGACTATTGACTAGGATGCACTAGTGATTCTTGCTGGTACTTGAAAATCTCTTAAGGTATCTGGCTCAAAGGCTTTTATCTTCCATTCAGAGTTGAACTGATCACCATATGTGGTCAGATTAGCACAGGCAGGCATGTGGGAAGGTGGGGTTTGCCTTCCTCTGCAAAGTAGAGCATGGCTCCTTTCCTAGGATTATCTGAGCTTATTAAACCCAAACATCGTTCCATTGCTGTGGTGGGGCATTGGCAGTGCCCTGTCTCCTCCGTGGCACATCTCAGGGTGTTCTTTTTTTTGCTTCCATACAGTGCTTTGTGGCTGCGTGGTGTCCATTTGTAAGGCATTGGAGTGGACCATTTTTAGGACTCCTTGGATAAACGGCTTCTGGCAAAGGCAGGGACTCCACTGGACTCCATGGCCCGAGACACACATTTCAGTTCTGTGTTCATGCCTCTGTCATGACCCTGTGACACAGATCCATAGGATCTATCACAGAAAAGATGTCTCCAAGTACCAAAAACAGGTTCTGAATTTCTGTATACCTGGGGCACCTGTATATATCTTTAAGGTTAGGGCCAGTCTTAGGAGACCTTTGAGGATCACAGCAACCTTGCATCCCAAAGTAATGGGATGTGGTCCTCAGTTCTCCTAAACTAGTCCATTTCTTTGAGTTTGTGTGTGTGTGGGGGTGGGGGGGGTGGAGAACAGCTCAAGTAACATCTGGTGCCAGGAGTGTTGAGAAATAGTTGTATATAACAGTACCTCTGGGTGTGATTGAAGCAAGGGCCTCTAGTTCCGCTGCTAAACATGCCACAGGGTTGGTCTTGTTAGGAGTCCAGTAACAAAAGCAAAAAAAACCATCCTGTGTCCTAGCCATCTGAGAAGGAAAAGATCCACATAATATTAATGTGACTTACATTTATTACAATAGTACATGCCACTCTCATTTACGTAACACGTTTTGAATCCTGAGCTTAAAATGAGCTCAAACAGGCCACACAGTTTTGGCATATACTGTTAAAACAAGGCGCATTTTTTATTTTAATGTACCACAGCATCAAACCTCCCTCGGGATGGAATTTGTGTTCACAGGGCTTATGTGACCTTGTGCTGACCAATAGCGTGTGGGGCTTCTGGTTGTTTTAGGGCAAAGGTGCAACCCCAATCTCAGGCAAATTAGATTTTGCAATCCGGAAGACAAAGATCCTCAGTAGAGCTCAAAAATTGCTATAAATGGGGAACTCCTCAAATTAGATGCATGTTGAGAAATGACCTTTCCATTCGGGCAATTTTTTGCTTATGTCTCCATGTCAAGATGGAGCTGTTGGAGAGGAGTTGTTTGTAAGTTCAACTACCTGTGGCTGAGTAGCACAGGACCTGAAATAACCCCTTCTTGGAAAAGCACTTAAGAAGGTTTCTAAGCCCCATGGATCATTAACATGCGTTTTATAAGCGTACAAATGTAGCTGCTTAACCGCTTTAAAAAGGAGTAGCTGCCTCTCAGGACTGGGCATCAACTGTTACACTTAACTGCTACATTGCCAGGATCCTGTAATGATCGTAATTTAGCTAAATCTCTGGAACTTTAACCCCGTTTCATTCAGGGTTGGGGTCGTAGTGGTTTCTGGTTTGGATACACTTGAATTGCCACAGAAACATGCATATATCACACTTACCTGGTAATAGTTTATATCAGGATCATTTAATACTGATACAGCAGTTACGTCTGCCCATGCCTTCAGAAAGCACTAGCCTTGTCTGTTTTCCTGATTTTGGGTCATAAAACCATCTTTTTTTAGCTTTGCACTTACTCACATGGTTACTCTTAATCAGAGCTGTATAGCCAAATATATGGCATAAATGAGGATCCTAGATCACAACTGCTGATTCAAATGCCCACTACATGTAGCAAGTATTTCACTGTGCAATGGGCTTAGTAATTTCAGAGCTTACCTTGAACTCCAGAGAAATGCAAACAGGGGAGTTTTCCAAATTAAGTTTTCTGAATACCAGCATTTAATGAAACAGCATCCCGTGGAGGCTTTGATAAGGACCAATTTTGGAAGTAACAGGGTTACCTAGTCATGAGGTCATTGTTTTCTGGCCTTCCTGGGTGGTTTGTCAGCTAATTTTCAAAAGTGTCCTTATTGAAAGCACTGACTTACAGTTCTGTAGGGAGGCCATTTAGCCCAGTAAGCAATGGGTCTGTCTAAATACACAGCTAGAAATGTGTGTCCACTCACTTCCCTAAGTGCTGGGAGCTTCTACCAGAACTTGGTTCTCTCTGCTGTATCATCCACAAAGTGGCTGCCTCCTATGAGCAGAGAGAGGTAGTTAGTTAGCCATGTAGTATTAAGTCACGCAGAAGGCAAGGTAGAGCTGCACTTCATAGGCTGATTATATCAGAGATGCATAAGTTTTCATGACCTTAAAGTCACTTAATCAGATGTGAGCTCAGGCTCATGAAAGCTTATACATCTCTGATTTAGCTAGTCTATAAGGTGTAAAGCTACCCTGTCTTCTGCTTTATATGAGACATTTAAAATTAGGTTGAAACCCTCTCCTGGGATTTTGGAAGCTGAACTGATGTCGTGTGGAAAGATGGTCTGTTGGTACATCTAAACCAGTAGCTGAAGTCACTGTGTAAAGTTTTAAGTTAGGGGTCCACCAAAGCCTTTATCACTCTATGGATGAATGTTATCACTCTATGGATGCTTTCTTTCCTGAACACCTAATGGGTCTTCATACCTTTTCTTTCATCTCATCCAAATGAAGACTTGTATCCTGTTTTCTTTCCACTAGCCCAGACGCACTTTCCCTTTCTGCATCAGGCCTCTCCACACAGAGAGAATTTAGCCTTTGCCATGCCTGCCTGTGAACAACAGACTTGAACATTGAGCCTCCTGAAACTGCTGCAAGGCCTATTTAAGAATGGGGTATTTTGTGTTACCTGGTTAATAACGGTGCAGGTTCTGTAAGTCTCCTGTGTTTTGTTTGCCTTCAGATTTCGGAGCATTACAAAACAGTATTTCCGAAAGGCGGATGGCATCTTGGTGATGTATGATGTCACTGCTGAGTGCAGCTTCACAGCAGTGCGGAACTGGATGAATAATATCCAGGTAAGAGCAAAACCCATTTCAGAGACCTCAAAATGAATAGCTTCACATCAAGAAAATACAGGCGCAAAAGGAAAATGTGGCAAGACTTTTAAATTCCCACAGGTCCAGTAGGGCCAACTTTTTTCCTCCTTGTTCTTAAGCCAAGGAAATGGGTGCAAAACAACCTACCCCTTGCCACTAAAAAAAATTAGTGTTAAATCTGGTTGAATCAAATGCTCGGACTCGGGAACCACTTGGAATCCTAGAAGTTTAAATTTCTTTCCACAGTGTCCCAGTTGGAGCTTCCAGACTCATTCCTCTGAATAAACTGAGTTGGGTGGAATTTTGATGATAATTTCAGGGGCTGCTCCAATTTCCACTGATCTCCATAGCAAAGCTCCTTTTTGTGTGAGCCCAAATGGGATCAGCTCCATGAGGTTTGTTTCCTTTTGATGGTTCTCAAAGGAGCCTTGTTCTGTTCTGCAGGAAGGGATTGAGGATGGAGCTGTGATCTTTCTGCTAGGAAACAAAGTGGATGCAGTAGAACAGAAGACCCATGATGTGCCTAAGCTGGAGGGCGAGAGGCTGGCAAAGGTGGTGTGGCTTTGAATGCTGTTCTCTGCTCTAAGGGCTCTGTAAAGGTTGCTCCATTCTGGCTTTCATGCTCATTGTCCTATTTAGGAAATGGGAGGGAGGTGTTTCTGTATTCACCATGGTTGCAGGGTGTGATTTTTGCCCCCACGGAGATCCATGACTGAATTAGCACTGATTTCAGTGGTGCCAAGTTGCCCATAAGTGATGGACATCAGCTTACAAAGGGCACCACTTGCCTTTTCCTCTTTGGACTGTGTGCAGCAGTTCTCAGTTTTTCAGGAAGATGATGGAGATTTAACTAGTTACATGACCCCATCTGCAAGCTCAGACACTGAAGCTCTGGACACATCCAGCTTATGAATATGGGTGGTTTTTTGTTTGTTTTTCCCCCCTTGGTTTTAATGCCCTGTGATACCTATGTCCCCTTAGGTTAGAACAGGGGTAGGCAAAATGCAGCCCGGGGGCTGGATGTGATCTGCCAGACCATTCTAGCTGGCCCATGGGGCCCCTAAAAAATTTCGAAAATTAATATGTATCTGCCCCTGGCCACCTGTCATGCGGCCCTCAATGGCTTGCCAAAACTCAGTAAGCAGCCCTCTGCCTGAAATAATTGCCCACCCCTGGCTTAGAAGTTTCTCCACTGGGCCTTGATGCATGGAGCTGTTTAGTGGAGTATGAAGTGCTCTTAAATGAACCAGTCCATGACCTGGAATGTTGCATGTTCCATAGCCCAGCTGGTGATGGAGGCACTTTGAGAGAGAGGACACCCAAAGCACACATTAGTATTTCACAAATACTTTAAGCTCCCTCCTTCCTCCCAACTACTAAAGACCCAATGCTCCCTCCAGGCCCTTTGTGAGGAGCAGGCCTTCACTTCCTCAAAGAGAAAGCTCCATTCATGGATATTAGCAGGGGGATCTGTCCTCTTGCTCATTCTACTTGTGGGATGAGACACTGGCATATCCTCCATATAGGCAGTCTGCATGAATCCTATAATTCATTAGCATCCCACAAGACGTTTGATGGGGAGGGGGTTCCACTATGTATATGAAATAGAGGATGGTCTTTTACAAGCACTGGAGAGGATCCTTCTTTGGGGCATTGGTTGCTGAGCAGAGGTGGGGATAGTGGGGAAAGACCATGCACAAAGTTATCTCCTGGTTCTGTTTCCGGCAGGAATACAAGGCTGTCTTCTATGAGTGCAGCGCCATGACTGGCTACAACATTGTAGAGCCCATGCTACATATGGCAAGGTCAGTGAAAAGATGTGGAATTGGCCTTGTATCTCTTCCAGCTGTGGCCAAGTTGCAAAAAAATCTCTCTTGAGGCAGGCCATGGCAAGAAGGGGCATTAACCTAAGACTGACCTTCTGCCACAATTGTCTATACTATAGGCATGCTGCACCCATAACTATTAATAATTTTCTCAGTCCCCACTCCCTTTTCCCTTTTTTATACTTTCTTTTTTTAAGATACAAATGGAGGAAAATAGAAAAAAATACGATTTTAATTTACTTGAAAAAATTCTAGTTTTCTTTATTTTGTGCCACATAAGCACAGCTAGTGAATTACCGACTGAGAAATCCTGCTGTGTATCCAATACAACGATACCACCTAGGTTTTGCATAGCAGTTTTCAACAGGAAGATCTCAAAGTGCATTCCAAAAGATGCATCATCACCATTTTACAGAAAGGGAAACAGCAGTAGGCAGAGGTGAGGTGACTTGGCCAAGGCCACAGAGTTGGTCAGTGGCAGAGCAAGGACAGATCTCCTGCTTCTTAGTCCAGTGCCCATTCCATGACACAATGCTGTCTCTTCTAGTATATATGAACTGTTCCCCTTTTTCCAGGCTATTCTGGGAATTTCTCACAACTGGTTTGCTTTTATTCAGCTCAAATCCAAAGCAAGGCCAACTCATTGTTTCCCTCCACTCTCCAGCTGACAGGGCACAAAGGTTGTCACTGCCTGGGCAGGAAGGTGGTGGCAACAGCATTGGGTTCCTGAGCTGTGTGACCTCTTTTCAGATTGCTGACGGCACAAGAGGACAAGCAGCGAGAGAGTGCCCTGCACCTGAATGTTTACAGCAAGAGGAAAGGCTGCTGCTTGTGACTGCATAAAGACCATCCTCTGGCAACAGTTATCATGGGGGCACTCCTGACAGCAACTGCGGATGGGAGGAAGTTCCAGGTTCTTTCCAGCAGAGAACACCAAGGCATTAAAACAGAACAGCAGTGTGTGTGTGCAATAGAGGAACGTTACCATCCATGTGGTCTCCTACAGCCCTGTCACTCCTCCCCCCTGCTCACCAAGGGTGCATGGCCAGCAGTGGCTTGGGGTTGCAGCGCTGGCAGCATAGAAGCTGGTTCTTTCCTATGCTCTGGCAGCTCTCCTGTAAGATGCTGAGGGTCAGGCTTCCTGGGCATAGACAGAACCATGTGGCTGGGTACCTGGGGCAGCTACCACATACAGGGACAGTGCCTGGGGTGGCTGCCTCATTGCCCCACTCTAGTTATGCCACCGTCCCTGTGTGTCCAGCTACCAGGGGTGAGGAGGAAATGCACGTAGACAAATGAAGGGCACTGGTATTTATTCTGTTTTAAATAAACTAAAGGCAAGTCTAACTGTGTAATAATAAATAAAGAAAGGATTTGTTTTAAAATTTGAGGGGAAAATGTTGCCACCATTGATCTGTCCTAAAGCGATGTTTGCTTAGCCTTTGGGGTAATGACCAGAGTTGCTCCTCACTGAAAGGGGGGAAGCATCCGCTGATTCCTCAAAGTTTCCTACCACTGCCAGCCTGTGTACCCACTCACTGACTCCATGAAATAGATGCTTTTGTCCTGAGCTCAAGAGCCCAGGTTCAAACCCTCATATTGGCCTGGTTATTTCTGACTTTACACTTGGATTTTGTCTGCTGAAAAACTGATATAGGGAAAAAGGTAGTTAGTTGTGTTGATCTGAAGTCAGACAGAAGGCAGAGCAGGGCAGGGTGGCACATTATAAACTAATTCAGAGAGGCATGAGCTTTTGCAGGCTACAGCCTGCTTCATCAGGTGCTATGAATGAATTTTGCAAAGAGCAGGGGATACTAAATAGAAAGGAATACGGTCAGAGTTACTCATACTGTTCCCAGCCCCAGCCTATCCCACTTCCTGTTTATGACAGGGAAGACTTGTATGGTATGTTGGTCTATAGCAGTGATTCTCAAACTTTTTTTTCATTTGCAAACCCCTAAAATTTCAAATGGAGGCACAGACACCTTTAGAAATTTTGAACAGAGGTGCAGAACCATTTGAATTATAGTGTGGGTATTCACATACTTTTGATTGATCAGTCATCTTTCATGGACCCCTTAGACAGCCTGGGGACCCTAGGGGTTTGCAGACCACACACTGAAAACCACTGGTTGATGGTACATAATTAAACTTATTTGTTACTTTTCTGGTAGGAGCTGAGGTCAAGGTGGGAAAGGACATAGCCTTATAGCCTGTTGTTAAACCTCAGGGCTTTTCCACACTGGGCCACTCAAAATAAATCTGAATTAACTTCTAAAATGGTTTAGTTTAATTGGCATCAAACTCAATGTAGACATTCCTGTTCAGAATTAAAATGGCTTTAATTTGCTTTAGCTTAGTTCATTTCCAGCATGTATTAAACAAAGGGCTCTTTAATGTTGAATGAGTGCCTGCATAATGGTTTAGTGCAGTTTAATGAATCCCATTTCAATTGACATTTGTAGTAATTGAGATCAACTTTTCTGTGCCCTTGTGTAGACAATCACTCTAAGCTACTGGCAACAGAGAGAGTACACTAGAAGGATGTTGGCACTGGCTTTCTCCTTTGCTCAGTGCCCAGGGATTCTTCCTGGTGGTCCAGCGTGGAGGATAGTATACATGGCCCAAACCAAGCCTTTGGTTAACTAAGCCTCCAAATCCCGGGAAAATCCCAATCTGTAGGTAGAATGGGATTGAGGTGCCACACTGGATGGCAGACAATTCCAGTTCTAGTGGGACAGGAGCTGCTGCAAATACAGACCACTCTGAAACCCTTTAGTGCCTGAGGATATTCAATCTTTAGCCTTTGAAAAAGCCATTCTGTCCCGTCACGTACAGTACCTGGATGGCTCAGCAATAAAGGTTTCCTAGTTTTGCTGGAGGATAAAGGTCTCCAGTAGAGAACCCTATCCTTCTCTGGGCTTCCAGACTCTGGCAGCCTGGGGGAGAGCCTGGGCCTTGCAGGTATCCATGTGGGGGGAATGGATTTTCCCTATGTCAGGAGGACTGAGAGAACCTACAGAACCACTTCTGTTCAGGGGGGCTGTCAGTGGCTGTCTCAGAGAAAAGCATTTTGATTTCTCAGGGGTTCAAGTTACTGCTACAGACTCCTCCTGCACAAAACACCTTGTTCCTCTGTCAAATTGGCATGGAAAGTGGAACAGACAGAAGACTGGCATGCTGTCCCATCCCTAGCGAAAAGAAGTCTCTGGCAACTGCCCTCTCTGACCTGGTGATGTTTTCCTTGTCTATAATCTTGAGCTCACTTTTAGGGATGCTGCTTCCCTTCATATTCAGAAATCTTGGTAGAGGTAGTATCTTTTATTAGGCCAACTAAATAGTTGCACACACAAAAAAAATCTTTATTTGCAAGTTTTTGGGTGCTCTCACCCTTCCTCAGGCAAAGGAGAATACAGTTTGTAACATTTTTCCCAGGTAGAAATGAAACTTCATATTGCATCATATTAAACAGATGTTATAGGTTCCCCTGAGTAGAAAAGTTTATTTTATGCAAATAGGTTCAAATGAAAGGCAGAATAGTCTGTTTACCTCCAAAGTATCTGATGGCAAGCATGATGTTGGGTTTGTTTTTTTTTCTTCCTTCTTGGTGAGATGTTTTCTACTGCACAGGAGAGAGGGTGATGGATACATATCCTGGCTGAAGCAGTTCTGTTGAGTGGAGCTTTTCTTCCAGGTGTGCAAATTTAGCTCAAACAAAAGGCTGGAGCAAGAGTGGGATTCTCCAGGTCTCCGAGTGTTGGATTTTTGCTGCTTTTTTTTTGTAAAAAGTATGATGTTTTTATTGCAAAGTGGCTAATTGCAGTATGTTGCATGTTTCAGGGATACAGGTTTTAGCCGTGTTGATCTACAGGCAAAAATATTCAGAACTCTTGGTAGAGGTGATTATCTTTTATTAGACCAACTAAATAGTTGCAAAAGGGGGAACCTATAACATCTTTCTATTCTCCTGTGCAATACGAAGTTTCATTTCTACCTGGGAGAAATGTTAAAATCTGTGCATTCTCTTTTGCTTGGGGAAGGGTGCATGAGCCCGAAAGCTTGCAATAAAGAATTTTTTTTGCAACTATTTAGTTTGTTTAATAAAATATATCACCTCTACCAAGAGTTCTGAATATTTTTACCTGTAGACCAACACAGCTAAAACCTGTATCACTTTCCTTCATGGAGTTCACACATGGTTTTTCCAAATTGCCACTGGGCGGTGCTGTTACACTGGCTACTGTGGAGTAAAGTTTCTGAGCTGTAGATGTCCCTTCAGTGACAGAGCAGTTCTGAGGTGGGAACAATAAGAAAAAAAGTAATGGATTGCTCATGCATATGTGTATTACAATCCTTCCAGAACAGCTTCAGTGTAAAAGGGAGAAGGATTGGGGGAGAGGAGGAGGGGGGTGGATTTCAATAGGGTGGTGCCACATGGGACAGGGCAATGAAACAACAGTGACCATTGACAAAAGTGCTTAAGACAGTCTTTCTGCCCACCCACCCCCAGTGTGACTTTGGAGCACCAGCCTCTTGCCTTTCAGTGAAATTTAGGCACCTAAATAGCAAAGGGCCTTGCTACATGGTAAATTCAAGCAGCTTCTGGAGCTCTTAACACCTGGACTAGCTGCACATTAACACTTTTTAAGTGGTTTAAAGCACTCATTATTCAGCTTAGTTATGCCACTGCAGGGCAGGACTATCTCCAATCTGCCTAATTTTGTTCCTTTTCCATTACTGTGTGGCTACTTTCCACAGCTATTCCACCCAAGCCAAAGTCCTCCAGTATCCCAGAATGCAGTGGCCCCTCCTGACTCGGGGCGAGCAGGGATGTCGGGGCACAGCAGGGCCGGATGTGGTGCTTCGCCCCCGCGGGGACGTCAGGCAGAGTGAGTGCCGGTGCTCCCACCACCACCCAGACTGGCTCTGCTCCTGCCAGCAGCGGCATGGGGGGTAGGCACTGCCTGAGCTCTGGAGAGAAAAGGATCAGGTCCCTCCGAGCTCAGGCAGTGCCCTTTAAGCTCATGGAGTTTTCCGCAAGCAGCGGAGGTCACTGCAGTGAGCAGCAAGCAAAATAATTGCAGTTATTAACTCTGGCTGTTGCTATGGAGGAAAGAATTAAGCCAAGCAGAGCTCAGACGAGCACTAGCAGATGCTTCAGTTCCCATCACTCCAGTGGCTCCTCCTCTGGGGAGAGATTTTGGCTTTTGTGAGGGGACCAAAAGTGCTCTTTTGGTGTATTTTTCCAGGTAAGTTAGGGTCAAAGCGGACCAGTCCTGAAATAAATAGTGAGGCCTGCTTTTCGTGTACCTGAGATAACTGGAACGGTTTATAGATGGGCCAAGGGATTTTTGCCTCGGGGTAGTTGAAGCCCATCTGGTTTCTTAGGAGGGTTAAAAACTAACCTTGGAGACTAATTCAGATATCGGGTTTCTTATAGATAACCTAAAGAGTTGATGAATGCGTGAGTGACTGATCTTATCAGAATGCGATGAAACTCAAGATGGTCTTTACATTCACTTACTTAACTGAAGTCATTCAAGGAGCAGCCTTGAGTAAAGCAATCAACGAATACTGTATTTTCTCACATACAGCACGCACTTCCCCCCCACAAAAAAATAGCCCCCCAAAATTGGGTCACCCTGTCTTAAGCAGGGAAGTTGGTTTTTCTGTCCAGAATAGAAGCCCTCCCCCATCCCCTGCTTTGATTCCTTCTCCAAAACCACCTGCCCAGCTGAGGGAGTCAGTTGACTTAATGGCTCATTGTTCCTCACTCCACAGGTGTTAATTATAATCTCTCCTTTTTAATGGTCTTGATGTTCCACTAATGAAGCTAACCTTTCCTCTGACAATTTTGCTGTCTGCTTGCTGCTACTCCTGTCTCTCCTCCTATTCCACAGCCTTGCAGACTTTTTAGCTCTGTCCTTGCTCTGTGCAGCTATAACTCTGAAAACATCCTTTTTGTTTTTTTCTTCTTCATTCTCCCTTTCCAAAAAACAAGGTGCGTATATTGTTTCAGGGTGTGTTTGATGAGAGAACTACAGCATTAAGAATGTAAAATCCTACATTAAAATTGACTGTTTCTTTCCGGCGTTTAATAGAGAAGGTTGCTATTTTCAAATTAAAATAGCATTTAAATATTGCATTTATTTATTGCAAGAAAAAAAATTAAATGCAATTCCTTCACCCTGCACTGATGAACTGCATCCTACCAGTAATTACTGAACTATTAGTGATGTTTTCAAAAAACAAAGTAGAAACCACTTTCCTGTTTAATACTTATGTTTATGGCCTTCCTTTGGCTTCACATCTTCATGGTTGGTTATTGCATATTCATATAGTAAGGATGATGCCTCACTATACTACAAATGTATATGCATCAGGGTTTTAGTTGCCTT